TGTCAAGACCATATGGCCTATGCCCCATTGTGGTTTTCAAGCCTCTGGGGCCAGTCAAACCATGGTCAGCCATGTGACATCTGAATTCCACTGCACAGCACTTGAACCACTGTGCTACCTGGGCTAACCCTTTCATTTGGCCTTTGAACTGAGAAATCTTTGTAGAGGACTTCCTATACATTCTCCATCTCTCCCCAAGCAAATTTATAAATAAGCCATTTGGTTTGTTGTTTATGCTATGGATGGATGTGTGAATTAGAAGATGATGTAAGTGTTATATATTCACATGCTCATATATATAAGATGCTCATCTTGCTAATTATCCTGTTTGATCTTCATTGAAGTTTCTTGAGAACAAGGTTTTATTTTTTCCCTATAAATTCATATAACATACAGTACTCATTTTCTCATGTAAGAAAACAGAGGCTGAAAAAATGTGGTTGACCAACTTACTGACAGAGAACTTAGTGTTACAATTTTAAGGAAAAGAATGTTTTTTTTTCTTTTGTACCCCTACAAAAGAAGCCCAAACTAACCGTTTCAGATTTTATGCAAGAATCTGCCCAAATAAATTACTATAGATGATGAATTTTCCCACATTATTGTATGAAACTTTGTTGTTTCATTTTAGTTGCCTCCTTAGATGGTCATCTGAAAATGATTATGTATTTAATGAATCTAAGTGTTTATTCTCCAGGGTCATGGAAAAAATATCTGTCAGAAATGCTACAGTAAACGCATTTTTCATAATGTAAATAAGATAAAAATGTAGCCTTCACTTTTAAATTCTGTATGCTGGACTTCAAACTGAAACATATTTCAGAACTGGATTGTGTTCAGAAAGGGTCATTTTCTTCTATTGAAGTTTCATGTATTTCTGTTATGTTTCCAGATTTAAGCTGCTTATTATTAATACTAAGACAAAATGGTTTCTTGAGGAACTTGGGAAATAATAAACAGCCTCATTTAGACAGCATTTTGGCCTGGATTTGGTCCATGAACTTATGGATGTGAAGCCATTTAGTGTGTCTGAGATATTGAAGATCCTTCCAAGAGAGACTGTTTGGATTATGGACCCCGTGGTGTGTTTGCCTCTTGCAAAGTTTAGTTTGAAGTAGTTGGGACAAAACTGTGAACAAAGCCCTGAGACTCTTAGAGCTGGAAAGAATCTCAGGAGGTCCCTTTCTTAGCCTCTGTATTCAGGGAGGAGAATTTGCAAATCATTCAAGGCAGGCTGCTGATTCTGTTTTTGTGAGACATCAAAGAGAAGGAGTCCTGATTGTGCCAAAGTGACTGTTTTAGAAGAAAGCCCCCAACATTCTTGTTTTCTTATCACATTTTAAACTGTATGAAATGTCAACAGTGATGGGAGAGAGATCTATTTTGTTTCTTGGGTAACTGATGGTATGAGAAGCTTGCTAATGACATTTCAAACCTGGAAGATGCTTATATTTATATTAATTATTTGTTGATTTAAAAAAAAAAAAATTTAAAGTCACTCTTTTTGCATTTGTCTGAGTTACTTTATACCAGGACTTGCAAAACTCAATATTCCATAGCAGACAGGCAGTTCATCTGCAAGTAAACAGATGAGAGTAACAGCAAGTGGGAGTCTCTGCTGTTATACTAGGGAGGACAGATCCTGGGAGCTAAAAGCATTCAAATTAAAAAAATAAATAAATAAACCAAGTGGTCTGCTAGCTGTGTTTTGGTCTTTTGTCCTCTTATTTCAGACCTTAGTCTAATAGTGTGCCCATAGGCATTTTAAAAACTTTTGAATGGCACCACTGGTGCCATTGTGGTTAAGGCAGCTGGATCCCACATGGTCAACTGTACAAGTTTGAGTCCTGGGCCTGGTGGCTTGAAAAACACACCAGGCACATGTGTATATGTGCCCAAAATTCCAAAAGGAGAAAAAGAGAAGGGATTGCAGCATAGTCTTTCCCCATTGGGGGTGCTTTCTTGGTCCCTACCCCTGTTTCTTTCTGGCAAGTGCACACTCCAGAAAAATTTTTTTAAAAAATAGTGCTTTGAATAATGATCACACATGTGTAGATTAACACTTAATCTATGTTTGCAGTTTTATTTTTCTCACAAAAACATATTTTGTGAGAGGTTAATTGTTTCTAATCTGAACATTCTTGCCTTGGATATTTCTTTCAACAACAAAAAAAAAATAGCAAATGATTTTATTTAAGTTAACTAAGGTTAGCCAGGCAACTCTATTTCTCTATCAATTCTTACAACTAGATTGTAGAAATAAAGTTGTAAATGATCTTGCCAGAATACTCTTTTAGAAAGGGCAATGTCTGGAACTGGCAGGTGTCATGGTGGTTAAGGGTGCTGGACTTCCACAAGGCTGACTGTGGGTTTAAGTCCTGGACCTGGGAGCTTGCCTTTTCACTTTCTCTCTCTCTCTCTCTCTCTCTCTCTCTCTCTCTTGCACTCTGTCCCTCTCTGGTCAAATTAAAATAAATAAATAAATAAAGCTAAAGAAAAATTCTTTAAAAGAAATAAAAAAGGGGCAATGTCTAAACCAGGAAACTAAACTCGAATGCATTATTAAGCAGGTTGCATACCTCCAGGGAACGTGGTTCACAGTATGGCTGGTCTTGAGCAGCTCTGGGGGGAGCACTGTTATTCTCTTGGACGAATTGGGGTTTAATTGACACTCTGTTATCGTGCAACAATCCAGCCCTGCCTTCAAGTCTCAGTGGGTAGCACATTTGAGAAACAGCTGAGTCTAAGACATTAGGAAGTATTGGGAACCCTGGAAAACTGGAGAATACATGCCCCACATAAAGAAATTCACATTTAAATAAGTTGAAACATTCCTATAGTCAAGATTCACTGCCAGCTTAAGACCTCTGTTCTAAGTCAGGGGACAAAAGATGTGTTTCAGACACTGTAGAAACATCATGTTAGTTATGACTCTTGATTATATATAACAGAATCCCAACTCAAAGAAAAGAGTATTTTTTTGGCTCATGTAACTGGGTTAGGTCAAAGAACTGAAGAGAGTGCTATGAAAGCAGGACCTTCACTCCGTGAACTGGGTACCTGACACAGCCAGTACTCCTGTTTCACCCCCTTTAACTTTGCTTGACCCTCCTTCCTTGTGCAGAGGGATGGGAATAAGGCCTTTGGGAACTGTGATTCAGGGACCCCAGCATAAAGTAACTTTTTTTTTTTTTTCAAAATTCATATGGAAGAAACTCTTTTTTTTCCCCCCTGCTTAAAGCATATTTTCAGTCTCTTGAACCAATAGCTATAACAAACAAGGCCAGGGTTAGGAGGACCATAGTGGAATGAAGTAATATTATTGGTTAGGCCTGAGTATGTGCCCCACACACCTGCTTGCTCTCCCTGAGCTTATGGAAGAGGGACTGAGAAAGTTTGTTGAGCAAGCTGTTATGGTGTAGCAATAACACAGCAAAAACAAAAGGAAAGATCATATAACATCAAATAATTCATCATGGTAGTTCTGACATCTTAGAAGCTGGAAATTTTAACAATGTGATGCCTCCAATGTGAAGACACATGAAAATAAGCAATTAAGCTGCTCAAAAGTAGAAAGTAGAACCAGAGAGTAGTAGTACATTTTTGCACACTCCCTATACCAAGTCTTTGATATATGCATAAATAACACCTTTAGCATAAATAGAAAAAAATGTACTGATTTTTTTTGATGAAGATATTATTGTTAATTTAATAGTTGAGTGAGGTGCTGAGAACTTAACTGACACTTTATAATAGGCTTTAGGACAAACCTATGTGTTTTAAGAGGGTATTATGAAGATAGACCATTCTACATGTAGGTATTGAAAGCATAAGGAAATATCAATAAAACTGTAGACAGGATTTTTGCTGAAGTAGTAGAGCAGGAATCCCAATGTGAACTGTGATTAATGATCTTAGAAAAATCATCTGTCAGAACCAGCAGATGGCATAATGGTTATGTCACTGGACTCCCACGTTGTTGACCGCAGTTTGAGTCCCAGTCCCAGACCTGGCAGGCTTAAAACTCACATCGGGCATGTGTATGTGCATGCCCCAAATCCTGAGAGGATAATTAAGCAGGAGGGATTGTGATGTGGCCATCTCCCCAGGGAATGATTTCTTGCTTTCTGTCTCTCTGTCTCTTTCTGGCGAGTGCACGCACCCTAGAGCAAAAATCTCTCTCTCAAAAGAAAAATCATCTATCAAAAAGTTCATTCATAGTGTGGGTACCATTAGCTGATGTCATTATAGCTAGTTTGATGAAAACGTCTTGGAGATCAAGGAGCCACTTGTAACAACACAGAAAATAATGTGCAATAGTTTACTATTGTATGAGGCATAGATAAATGACCCATTTTTGAAACTCTCCATCATGATGTGCACATTGTTAAAAGCGCCTATTACAAATGGTAGTCTATAAAGACTGAGAAGACCAGAGTTCTCAGAGGGCTGGTGAATCAAGAGCTCCTCTGCAGGACTGAAGAACACATATGAACCAGCATCTGCTACCAAAAAGTCATCACGAGAAAGAGGAAGGGGATCCCTAGAGGACTTTCAGTTGGTAGTGAGAATTAAGTATGAGAGTACATTACCTACCTTCTAGGAAGTGATTACTTTTGAGTGCCATGTGAGGTATCAGGTATTGGATCAGCCATTTGCCAAATTACAGGTGTTGTCCCACACCCAAAATATTTTTTTCAATGTATTCTTTGGTTCAAGTGCATTATCCTAATGATGAAGAAAATATGTAAAATGATTGGACTCCATTTGAGTTACATGTTCTTTCTGAGAGAAAAGGATTGATGTACTGATATTCCTGGATAAAGACATTAATCCTAGCTAGATAGTCATGTATATAAATATTTCTATAAGTTTCTATAAGTGCCTTTTCAATAGTGTTTAATAAGGTTGCTATTAGAATATGAGCCATCTAATAGAAATCCAATAAGCCATTTTGATATTAAAAGTAGTTTTTTTGTTTTGTTTTTCCTTTATGGCAGTGTCCTGGCAGGTTACAATGGCACGATCTTTGCGTATGGGCAAACAGGCAGCGGGAAGACATTCACCATCACAGGTGGGGCTGAGCGATACAGCGACAGAGGCATTATCCCAAGGACGCTGTCGTACACTTTTGAGCAGTTACAAAAGGTACAAAACCAAATTCATTTTGTATGACATATTCAGCATAAATTTACAATGGAAAATTTGTTGTGACATTTTATTAGTTCTAAACGAGAAAGTATTATTGTGTAATAACTCTGTCCTTTATGTTTAAGAAAAGACTGGGATTTTCCTGGAGAAGACGAAATTAAGACTGTGTTTCTCATTAAAGCACTGCTACTCAACAAAGCCTCAAGGATAGTTCCTTCTGATAATACTCATGGAGGTTAAAGGAGCATATAGATACCTTTTACTAACTAATAGCATCTCATACGCCTCATTGATAAATGGAAGAATATCCTTTTGCCAAAACAGACTCTTCTTTTTAGTTATTAAAGCACTAAATAGGATAAGTGTGATTATTACCTTTTCACACTATCAATAGAAGTACAGAGAAATTTAGCAGATTATAAATCCCATTGTGATTAATATTATAAAGAGGAATTCCCTATTAATATTAGATATATTATATATTGAAAGCTTCCAAGTGCCCATTGCTTTGTCACTATTTAATACAACATGTAACAAACAAAGTAGTTATTCTTATTCCCTCATTATCACTGGGAATACTGAGGTTCAAGTTAAGTATTTTTCTCTGGTTTCACCTCTTATAAGGGGCAATCGAGAGTTGTATCTCAGGTCTGAGGCCAAACTGCTTTTTAACCACTTCATACATCGCTTTTATACCTCAGCGTGGCTTTGTTTTATCGTTGTCTTTAAGCAAACTCCCTTTAACGTGTCAGTTAGCTTCTCTAAGGTTTAGTTTTCCCCTCATGAAAGTAAGAATTGAGTTGTACTAGAGGACTGCAGCATCCCTAGTATTTCTAACAATTCCTTGGTTATATGAATTCTGTATAACAAATGTCCTAACTAGGTCAATGTAACAGTCACTCCAAAATTTCTAGACTGTATGCTGTTGCAAAGATGAGAAGAAATTGCTGAGATCTGCATAATTCTAATTGCCATCCATAAAGTAGTAATTATCCATTAGTTCAGCTCATCTCTCACTAGTTCAAACATGCCAGCTCTGCATGCCAGAGAATTTGAAGGAAAAAAGGTTGAGTATAGTGTGAATGTTGGATCCAAAGCCCTCTTTTCATTTACTTGTTTATTTCTGAAATTACTTATTTTATTTTTTTCCACATTTTATAAACTGGGAAGATAATTTCTTATAGTTTGTAGAGCTGTGGCCTAATGTGGAAGCTGATCATCTTGGAAGGACCATTAGAGTTGGTGTAAGCCGACCTAGTTCTGAAAAACTGTACTAGTGGCCCAGCAGTGTTATCATAATACTTTGCAATGCTGAAAGACTGGGGTTTGGTTCCCAGGACAAGCTGTGCATACACATACCTGTGACGCTGGTCGACTGAGAGTCTGGGGCAGGGCAGAGAAGGGCAAGTGTAGATCACCGTATGAGACACTGTTTAGGATGTTGTCTTTCTCTTGCTCATGAGAGTAATAAGTAAGCTTGCAGAAAAAGCATACTACTTAAAGCATGTGCTATTGGGGCACTTACTTCATGTCTCGGTCTTATGCAGTTGCTGCAAGGGGCAAACATATGATATGTAAAGATGTTGTCCAGTTTCTAACACATAGTATATGCTCAATACATGATAGTTCTTAGTGTAGCCATTAATATCCATATGTCTACATGTGGTTAAATGATGGCTCCCTTATCAATTTCAGAGAACTTTTTGCAACTCTCAGATCAAATGAAGCCTGTTTTCTTGATCAAGTTAAATAGAATAAACAAATCCTCTCCTAATGTAAAATATTTTTTTTGTTCCCTTTTCAATTTTGTGTATGGTTACTAAAGTGTAGCTCTGAAAGTTAAATGTCTCCCAAGTACTTAACCATCTGTTAGGTTCATTGTCTTAGATCTGTTTGTCATTGACATTACTCTAAACCCCATTTTATTCTGAATGATCCTAAACTACTTCCTGTATGTACAGAGAGCCCATCAGACCAATTTATAGTCAGAGTAACTCTTTGTGAATGGACAGATTTTCATGATGAGGCAAAGCACGTTCATTATAATCAAACTGAACTACAGTGAAACAAGTTAGGCAACTTGAAGCGCATCATAAAGTTTGTCCAAATTATGTAGCTGAGAAATGCAGACTGGTACTCAAAGGTCTCCAGCTGATTATCATAGAGGGCTACTGGAGCTATCTAGAATTCTTAAGGGAAATATTTGACTTATGCAAAGTTTATTCTCCAGATAAACTAGGAGCGTTGTCTGTACAGGATCTTGAAATGCCTGAGTATGATAGGAGCACATTTTCACTCATTTTAAGAGAAGAAAATTGATTCCATTTATTTTAGAAATGACTGTTCATTAGTTTTAGTATTGTGAGGTCCAGAGTTGTTTTGGGGCAGGAGAAAAGGCTGTCTGCAGGAAACATGTGTGTTACATTATAGTCTGGCAATCCTAAACACCGAAAAGGAGCAATAAGGAAAGGTAGCTTGCCACATAGCTCAGTGAATTTTAAGTGTGTATTGCAATAAAAGTCCAAAGAATGCAGAAGCTACAGGAGCCAAAGGCGTGATCCCTGTCATCTCAGGATAGCAGGCCTACCATAGTCCTTTTAAGATTTATTCTAATTTCTGGAAGAAGAAGACTTTCTCCACTGCAGATGAACATATACTTTGGCTATTCTTTTTGCTTTCCTTATATGGTCACATACTGAATTCTCCATTTGGAGGCTTCTAGAAATAGTAATAAAAACAATAATAGCAGCAATAATAGCTGGGGTAGAAACAATGATTCATTCAGGTATAAGCCACACATTTTTGGTAAGATTTTAAATATAGAACTTTATTTCTCTGTCACAACAGTTCTGGATGGTCAGAATTATTATTTACATTTTCATAGCAAAATAATTGAGGATAAGGGTGCCGGATCACTCAGTATAAATGGCAGATATAGGATGCAGACTCTATTCTGTCTGATGCTAAGAAGAGGTCAGAAACGTGTGCTAAAATCTGAAACCATAATTTCTGGGTACTTCAGATACATTTTAGAAGTACATTGGCTTGGGACCAGCAGTTAGCATAATGGCTATGTCACTGGACTCCCACGTAGTCGACTGCGGTTTGAGTCCTGGACCCGGTGGTTTAAACTCACGACAAGTGCGTTTGCATGCGTGTCCAAGGTCCCAAGAGGAGAATGGAGGAGAACGGATTGTGGCGTGGCCATCCCCCCCTGGGGGGGGGGTTTATCGTTTTTTTGTCTCTCTATCTCTCTCTCTGTCTTTCCGGCAAGCGCACACGCCCTATAGCAAAAAAAAAAAAAAAAAAAACTCAAAAAAAAATGTATATATTGGCTTAAAGAGAGTCTCAGAATGTTGCTGAAGGATTCGCCAGAGCCTTTGACATTCTCTGAGAACCTTCCAGAAAGGAAAAGAATATGTTCACCATGGAATGCTTTTCCAGGAGTATTTCATGTGACATTTTAGAAAGTCCTGAATTAGACTAACAGCCACTCAGATCTGTCCAATGTGTATGTCTCTGCAAAGGCAAGCTGTAACCCGAAGAACCATGTTGAAATGGTGCCATCACTAAGCAAGGGTACTAATGTAATCAGTAAACCATTTGTCAAGGTAAGCTGTAGGGTCACCCACATCAACAGGATTTCCAGCAATTGTTGACAGAAATTTGCCTAGTAGAAATTCAGTCCATGTTGTCACTCACTCTCATAGGACATCAGAATACAGAATTTTAGCTGTAGTGTGTTTTTGTTATAGTCATGTGCTAGCTGAAGAGTGCCCTTCATTTTTCATGTATGATTTTGTGTTTATGAAATGGTAGTATCTTTATTTGGATAGTTTGAGACATTTTAGCACCAAAGAATCATATTCATTTTTCATTGAAAAACATGTCAGGATTAATTATCTAACTTCCTCACTTTCATGAGTGTGAAACTGAGGCCTGACATGGTAGAGGCTCACAGCTAGTTGAACTAGGATTCCAGCTTTTGATTTATAGGCCACTGTTCTTTCTCCATGTTTATGGGGTTTTTCCTTTCTCTCTTTGAACAACTCCTGTTTTTGTTTTTGAGAAGCTTTTTTTACTATAGGTCATGTGTGCTTGCTGCAGAGACAGAGAGAAAAAAAGCAAGAAATCACCACCTCCCCCCCCCTCCCCAGGGAAGGCTACACTGCATTCCCTTCTCCTCCGTTCTTCTCCTGGGATGCTGAGCATACACGCACTCATGCTCGGCGTGAATTTTAAGGCACTGGGACTGAACCACAGTTGACCATGTCAGCATCCAGCACCTCAAACACTACGCCACCCCCCAACTCCTAAACATCTCCTGTTAAGTGGGTTGTCTTGGACATAGGAGAGAACCAGTCAGGAAGGTTATCCTGAGCAAGCCGTCTCTGTTAGCATTCGCTGACAACCTGACAGGCTTCCTGCCACAAGACACAAATAGAGAGTCCTCTTTCGAAAAAGGAAGCATGATACTATTTGCAGAAATGGAAGCCTCTGTGTTTGGGGAAGAACAAGAAGAAGGTGCTATTGTTTGACACTATGGATTAAATACTGAATTTGGAATTTTCTCCAGAGCTGAAAAAATTCCCTGCTTTATTCCAACTCAGACAAAATGAGTCTGTTATGACTGTTGGCAGGACTGAGACTTGGATCTTGCCTTTTAGCCTCATTATGTTGATGCTTATGACATTCATTTCAGCATTGACCCACAGAAAACATCTCTCTCTAACCAATAGCTGAATATCTTCAATTTGCCAGCAAAGCTAACCCAAAAACAAGGCATACCTAGGTAGTGAACTGTTAATGTTCACTCTTACCTGATGGATCTAAACTATTTCTGTCTCCTGGAACTCACTTTTTGCTATCTATTTAGGTCATCAAAATGTTTTGAACATGAGAAAAGTGAAAAAAAAAAGAATTATGATTAAAGATGGAAACTACTTTGCTTCTGAAGTTTTTAAACAGAAATAATGATTTGTGTTTTTTTTTTTCATGACTAGACTATTCACAGAATGTACATTTATTTTTTCTTAGTTGCCTTTTTCTTGGGGGACCTGGAAAGTAAAAAATGGTGTGTTATACAGTTGCAACCAAGTTGGCTCATTGTAAGTGTATATTAACATTTTATGTATAATGTGGAACCAATAAAAAACAACAGACTGAGGTTGCTTGTAATCACGGGTGTTGGCCGTTTGAAAAAAGAAAGCTTCCTGCATATGGTGACCGGCAACTTGAAAGTGTCACGAGCTGAAAATGTAAACCATGTAGAGTAAAAGAGTGAAAGAAACTGAGGAAACTACAGTGATAGATGTGCTCATCCTCTAAGCTATGTTGTTATTTATAGCTGTTACACAGTGTCTCTCCCTTTTCCAATCAGGACAGCAGCAAAATATATACAACACACATTTCCTACTTGGAAATCTACAATGAGTGTGGTTATGATCTATTGGATCCAAGACATGAAGCCTCCAGTTTGGAAGATTTGCCGTGAGTAGTCGAACAACAAAGAATTGGGGGGAAATTACTTTCAGATGTTCCCTTCAATTGTTTTCTTTGAAACTTTGTACGTTTCTGGTCTCAATCACAATTAGCAAATACTGGATAACAGAATCTCTTTGTAATATAATGAATTTTTTTTCTAGTTATGACAAATGGATAGTAGTGATGGGAACTAAAATTGCCTGAAACTTATTTCTTGAAAAAATCTCTTTTGGAATTAGCACAATAGAGTACAGTGAATGTTCTCTGAATGTGGGTGCTTAGAGGATTGATGGGATGTGACTACTTTACTGCTGCCTCATGAAACCCATCCACTCCTCTTAATGGTGGTCTTTTTCTGAAGTAGTATCCAAATTAGAGTTCAAGCAGCAATAAGAGAATCCAAAAGAGAGAAAATGAGATTGTAAGTTTTCCCTAAATGCTTCTTTACTGTCAAGACTAACATTGACAATCATTTGATTAGATAGGCACTGGTTGTTTCATGACTAAAATACAGTCTTCAGAGCCTAGCCAGTATTTTTTTTAACAGTGCTTTTTGCTTATTTGACTATCTGCCTAAATTAGATATATATTAATTGGTAACCGTTCATATTATTTTGTCTCAGCATCTTTATATATCAGCATTATGTACAACCAAGAAAGTTTATTTTTATATTCTTCTTCTTAAATACTCTAAAATGATTCAGAAATACTTATTGACTCTTTACCAAAAAGATTAACAGCCAGTTGGTTATTTTAAGTTACAAAAGAATTAAGAAGAAATGATAAAATAAGTTATACTCTTTATAGCACCTTATGATATATTCTTCCATTAATATTGGTTGAGAGCTTTTGGATATCATCTGTTATGGTTACAATATTCATGAAAGAGCGTTACAAAAGGGGACTATTGTTTATACTCTAAATATTTTTATAAGAAATTGAGAAAAAGAAAAGATTACTGACTCTGGAAGAAATGGCCTAAAAAAGCTATTAGAATTAAACTTACAAAAAAAAGTAAAACTCTTCCCACAGCAGAGATACAAACTAACATTAAAGACATGGAGGAGTAGTTAGGGAATGTGTTGAGGAATGTTACATTCTACATGTTTGTGACTTCTCAGAAATACATATGCTCCAAGGGGTGGGGTCTTTGGGGAGGTGATTAGGTCATAAGAGTGGAGCCCTCATGAATGAAATTAGTGCCCTTACAGAACAGGCCAAAGAGTTTGTGCATTTCATCCACCACACTGAGGACATTGTAAGAAGTCAGCAGTCTGCAACATGGGACAGGGCCTTAGTCAGAACCTGACCTGATGTTTACCTTGATCTCAAACTTTCTAACCTCTGGAGCTATAAGATATAAATCTCAGTTGTTTATAAGCTACCCAGTTTATGGTATTTTTGCTATATCAGCCCGAATGGACTACCGCAAGGGGTCAAGGAAAGAAAACAGAAAGGCCAACAGAAGCCAGTTTTTGGAGGCCCTTTAATGACAGGCTTTTAGTGTGAGATTGATCTGTATTCTAATCAGTTTCTTAATTAGTTTTCTAGTCTCCAGTCTAACCTATATACCTTATCTAAATCTTGCTTAAAATCCTTTACAGTAAGTTACAGCTACACCTAAGAACTTGAAGGCTGTTAAGAATAGTCAGAGAATTAAAGGCTTAGCTACATGAACATGTTTCTGAGTAGCCAGGAAGAGAAGATTAAATTTTAGAAATAGGCTAAATAAATAAAATTGATTATACTTGAACTAGAAAGAATTTGCTTGAATTGGAAAAGAAAGGTGAGTCACAAAAGTTGGTGTGCTTCTCATTTTACTGATTGAGGAAATCAAGCACAGAGTGATACGACTTGCCCAGACTTTCAAAACTAATTGGTTAATTGTAGAACAAAGATTAAAAACCAGATACTGTAACTTTAATGCCAGAGTAACAAAACTGCTTCAAGAGTTTTACATTAGGGACTAGAGAAAAAAAGGAGATTTCCATTAGAAAACTTGATTGGATAGGGATGATGAGCTTTACATATATAACTGGTTTCTAAGAATATTGTTCTAAATATCTATATTTACACTAAATTCTTCTGAGCTAAGAAGTACATGTTATTTGGTTTAGTGGTCTCCCTACTGCCTAGACCAGAATAAGTCCTTAATAATAATACTTGGTTTACTGCCTAAGCCAGAGTAAGTCCTTAATAATTTTTAAAATGCTCTCTTGAATTGAAGCTATCAAGTAGACTTTTGAAAATGAGAATATAAAGGAAGAGGAACAGAGCATGGGGTCTAATCCTTTTATTGTAATTGACATGATTAGGGGTACTCTATCAATGGGGAGAAGTAGGAATGAGAAAAGTCCATTGGCCTCTAAGAGAGGGAGTGTAATATGTAAAGAGTACTTGATTATAAGTCAGGAATTGTAGACTCCAGCCCTAGCACTATAGTCTTGGATAAATTCGTTCATTTTTCTGGGTTTCTCTGTCTATAAAAAGTGATCATTTGGGGACCAGCAGTTGACATAATGGCTATGTTGCTAGACTCCCTTGTAGTCTACCGCAGTTTGAGTCCTGGACCCGGTGGCTTAAACTCACGCCAGGCACATGTGCGTGTGTGCCCGAGATTCCGAGAAGAGAACAGCAGAGAAGGGATTGCATCGTGGCCATCCCCCCTTGGGGGGTGATTTCTCACTTTCTGTCTCTCTGTCTCTCTCTGCCTTTCTGGTGAACACACATGCCCCATAGCAAAAACCTCTCAAAAAAAATGTTTTTAAAAGGTAAGCATTTGGGGAGCCAACAGATGGCATAGTAGTTTTGTCACTCTACTCCTTATGGCTGACCATGGTTCGAGTCCTGGACCTGGTGGCTTGAAACTCATGCTGGGTGTGTGTGCCCAAGATCCTGGGAGGAGAATGGAGGAGAAGGGATTGTGGCATAGCCGTACCCCCTGTGGAGGGGCATGATTTCTCACTTTCCCTCCCACTGTCTCTCTGTCTCTCTCTCTTTCTGGTGAGTTCATGTACCCTAAGTGTGAAAACTTCTCCCAAAACAAAAATGGACATTTGATTATGTAATATTTAACAGCCTTTCAACCTCTAATGTCTAGAGTTCAAAAAATGGTAGTATGGGGAACCAGCAGTTAGCGTAATGGCTGTGTTGCTGGACTCCCACGTAGTCGACCGCGGTTCGCGTCCCAGACCCGGTGGCTTAAAACTCACGCCGGTGCGTGGGCGTGCGTGCCCAAGATCCCGAGAGGAGAATGGAGGAGAAGGGATTGCAGTGTGACCATCCCCCCTGGGGGGTGATTTCTCGCTTTCTGTCTCTATGTCTCTCTCTGTCTGTCTGGCGAGTGCACGTGCCCTATAGCGAAAACCTCTCCAAAAAAAAAAGAGAGAGAGAAAAAAATGGTAGTATGTATAGGGTTGGACTTATTGATAACTTTCTCTCCTTTTGAAGATAATAAGAAGTGATTTAGATGTTTTCTAAAGTCCTCCTTCCGGGAAAAAAAAGCAATCCTTTTGACAACAAGCACAATGCCTTAATTCATTCTGCATTTCTCAGCATGCTTGGCATTTAGTACTCATTTTCAGTGTTAGTCAGATTATCTCTTTAGATGTTATTAGCTGTCTGTCCTCAACTACTGCTCTTTCTTTAGCAACTTTGTTCTCTTAATGGAGAATGAGTTCACCCAGTCAAGTTGGAAGCCAGCCAGTGGCATGGTGGTTAAGAAACTGGATCCCACTTAGCTGTGTGATTCAAGTCCTGAACCTGGCAGCATGAAATACATGCTGAGTGTATATATGTGTGTGCAGAAAATCTAAGGAACAGAATGGAGGACAAGGGATTGTGGCATGGTCATCCTTCTTATGTGTCACTTTCTCAATTTCTCTTTCTCTCTGAACTTCCAGTGAGTGCATGCACCCTATAGCAAAATAAAAATAATAAATTCACCTTGGCTACAAAGCAGATGTTTTCAATAAACTACCACACATGCCAAAAAAAAAGTGGTTTGAAAGATGTTCTTATTCTTACATTTTGCACTATGATTCCATGACAAAAAATCCTATTAGAATGAAAATAGTAAAAAAAAAAAAAAAAAACCCTCCCATTTCCGGGTCTATAGCCTGCTTACTTCAGATGTATCCAATACTATAAAACTCTAGAACAAAATCAGAATTGCATGGCTTTTTAGTGTGGGATAATGGGATTTTACTAGTGTTGAGTCTGCTAGTTATCTGGGGAGTTTAGAAAGGTTTGCCTTTTACTGAGATTACAAAGTAATTCTTTATTCTTGAAAGTAACTTTTGCTGTACCTGGATTGGATTTATAGGGTGTTGTATTAATCTGGTTTCACACACTCTTGAACTGGACAAGTTGTAACTCTGAAACCCTATCTGTCTATTTGACTGGTTTCATTGTTATGAGTTAGAATATCCCAAACCCTATGAATACCTTTCAAAAATAGTAGGTAAAATGTCTGTTACCCCTCAGAGTCATCCATTTGAGAGACAACAGCAATATACATATTTGATCCTCTGCATTCTTATACTATGTTTAACCATGTAAAATTCCAGGTTACTGTGGTGTTGTACAATAATAGCCATCAGTAGTACTTTCTTACCATTAAGTGACACAGCTTTCCTAAGCATAACCTGTTGAACGTTCTTCTCACATGTACTCTGCTTTTCTTTGCTTTTTTCTTCCTTCCCTTTTCTCCTCTCTCTTTTTTGCCCTCTCCCCTCTCCTTCCTTTCCTTTCTTCTCTCTTTCTTTCAAGGTAGGGTCTCACTATTTTACCCAGGCTGCCCTTGAACTCACATGTTCCTGCCCCAGTCTCCTGAGTAGGAGAGATTACGGGCCTGTGCTACACACAGGCTTTGTTTCTTTTGCTTATTTCTCTTTTTCTCTCTTCCTTTCTTTCTTTTTCTTTTTTTCTTTTTTTTTTTACATTTTAATAAGTTCTATCTCTTTGCTGTTGCAGAACATTTGCTTATGAACTATCTGTGGAGATTT